CTGATCAAGGTTGTGCCCCCTCAGAAAAAAAAAAACTTCTGCCAACACGCCTGCTATCCGCGACTTCAGCTCACAAGGTTTCTTGCTTACAGATTACGTCTGTATAAAATGGGCACATAGCGACTGTCACTTGCTCTAATGTTTTGATCTACAAGCAAAAATGTGGTAAGCTTCGAAAACTGCTTCGTCTTCGAAGAGCTGCCATTGAATATCACACAGCTTATGAATGAAACTGCAAAAAAAAAAAAAAAAGGACACAGGCAATTTCACTGAAACATGAAATTGCCGTTTAGATCACAGTGCGCAAGACCTCGCCGCATGCTCAAAGGCAGTAAAATGATACGTTTTTTTTAGTAACAATTTACCCCTTTGTAGACGCTCTGGAACTAAACCAGTCATTCATAATTTTCATTTTCACCCGTGTGGGGCTAGATGGCGATCGAATGTGCAACGCGTGACCACCGTAGAAATTTTGCGCAATAAATATTAGGAGCGTGCAACAGAGAAAAGTTACAACTCTGAATGAGGCACGCGTGTGCGTGATTATCACATTTGCCCACAATAATAACAGAAAGGTTGCGGCTGTAAGAATGCTGTGTTGCTTCCCACAAAGCAGGGAATCCACTTGTGCTGTGCTTCGTAGGGTTATGTGTGCTAAACATTTAATTTGTGCATGCTTGTCATGTTAACCGCGAGTCGTCTTTAGATGCAAACCTACAATGAATAAAGTAGCGTGGTTGCACTCATTTCTTGCAGCAAAGAAAAGTGTCTTTACCGTTAATACCCATTTATACTTCAATTCGACACGGAATGAGTCGTCAGCTTCTCAGAGGACGGCACGCTCGGCCGCCGTGGTTGTTTCATTTAGGTGGCCATAGCAGACGACGCCGGCAGTCAGGCGTTGAGAGAAGCTAGCACTTTGCAAGGGCCAGTTACTTAGCACTTCGTACAGTCAGGGAAGAAGCTGAAACAGTATTTTACTGATTTAGCTGAGTGAAGTGCAATGATAATAATAAAAGAAGACGCAAAAGCGGCTGCGGGCTGCGCGCGAGAAGGCAGTGGAGCAATCCAACCATGTACGTCACAGGGATGCCTCTGCATGGTGGTACCACGGTATGTCCTCGCGCCCAATATCAAGGAAACAGCTGTTAGTAGACATTCGAATTACCAACATGTACAAACACTGCCCAACGTTGATTATACCTACTGAGTGCACTCAGTCATTGTTCTTTTTAAAAATTAACATACCTTTAAAAATGCCTTGTTGTGCATCAGGTATGTTACATAGAACAAATAATATTTGTTCACCTTTGGGGTACATCTTTGGGGTACATCCCTCGTTTGTCATCTGCCGATCACCAAGCCCAGCTATATTGATGGCGTAAAGGCCACACCGGGTGATGCTTCTGGCAACTTGGCAAGAATAATATTTTGTAATATTTTAAGGGACCTTATATATTTTGATAACAGTGCAATTATTTAGTTTTCTGTTCTAATACTACCTTCTAGCTTCAAACAAAATTATGGAATTTAGCATAATTGTAATTCTTCTAAAGAAACTTTATTGCAAGCCCATGAAAAGGCTCTAGGTTTTATTTCTACCAGTAGCAAGTTGTCCGTTTTGTCGCCTTGCATTTTTATTTTTATCATAATGACTATACTTAAAATTAAAAAAAAAAACTAGAAAGAAGCCCTCTTTGCCTTGCTTGGCTTCAACATTTCTCATAGCTCAGTCACTACTGCAGCCACATTGAGGCTGTAGTATGTAAGTAAAAATTAATAAATATTGCGCTTCACAATAACATGTTCTTCATTCAATACTCCTTCTTTCGTTCATTTCTTTTTCATAAAAGTTATACGTGGCTTAACGTTGTTGCGGTGTATACTTGATTAAAGGGTTTTGGTAAGTTAGTAGTGACATTCCTATAAACTCATTAGAACCATGACAAGTTCTCATTTCGAGTTATCTTAGAGCCTAGTTATATAATGAGGCAGTTGAAGAACTAATGACTAGGATATATTATTGATAATTTTTGAAGTCCTTTACAAATAACATTTTTCTAGGTTCTAGGACAATGTATTAAAGGACTCCAGACAGGAAGCTCTAGTCTTTTTTGTTATTTCCCATTTGGAAAGCCATCAACTTTGTCATTACTCTAAGGCTCGATCATCACCTAATGCCAGAAGTAAACAGATCGTTAATTATGTTAACATTTAGTCGGACAATATCATAATGCACACCCCAAGTCTGCATGGTTTTTGCGTTTTGATGAAGGAGGTTCATATCATCGTTCATACCATGCCATTTCACCTTCCATACCATATGCCAAGAGTAGGGGGCAGAAAGCCAAGTCTATTTTTTACAAAAGGAAAAAGCATGTCAACATGCATATTCAATGAAAATTATTCAGTTGCTTAATTCTAAAAGGTCATCTCACAGCATTACATCATTACTGCATAGCTGGTATGGCTTTCGGACATCACATTAGCACGACAGCCTCATACGATACAAATGATGTGTTTAGACCTTTTTTTATCATCTGAATATGCATTGTTCTTGGCATATGTTTCAAAAAGATTGCTTGAAACATATACGGCTTGTACACCATTATGAGAGACACTGATGTGACATGATTGGGTATAACAGAAACAGTTCACCTCATTTGGATGCCATTTTTTAGTCCCTGAAAGACATGTGAGAAGCCCTTGATAACTCTTTAATATGTCTGAACTTTCATTTTTGAAACCTCGGTGAACCCTGCACATCTTGCTTATCTCAATAAAGAGGCCTACACCGCGAGGGCCGCAGAGCAAAGTGTGAGGAGGGAGACCGGGTGCTTTGCAGGGCAAGAGAAAGAATTTTGTGAATTGACAATGAACAGAGCCGGCATAGAAGTCATGTTTATCTTCAGGGTGCAAGTCGCAAGGCTGCTATTTACAAACATAGGTTTCAAGCAGAAGAAGAAGCTCGTCAGCGCAGCTTTTGGTGCACTCTTATCCAACTCGTAAATATCTACGTCAAGATTACTCACTGACAGACGCAGAAATTCATGGAGGTGTTCATTGGTTAGTCAGGAACGCATTTGATTAATCAACTTCATCCAGGAACTATGTTCACAAACATATGTACTGTTGAGCACTGTCATCATGGCTGCTGCTAGTTTCTTCAAACTGGAAAACTTCAAGTTTGTGACACCAGCGCAAAATTTCACGGTATATGCATAAAATGTGCCTTTGAGAACATCATCTGTATGTGTATCAGGCAGTCCCAAGTGGTACATATGCCCCGCTTGAACGAACTCTGAAAGAACCAGATGCTACTCGAATGTCCTTTAATATCCGAGCACCGAACTTCAAACTCCCTTTTTTAATCCCGTACTATTTGACAGTTCTTTTTCAGGAAGCAGTGTGCACATATCTCCCACAAAACTTTTGGAGCGAGAGAATATACAAAGATTACACCCACTAGCCTGCTGTTGTAAAAGGTTTAGTCTTGACTCGGAAGCCTTAATGTGTGAGAGCATGTACAACATAAGTTTCCCTTCTCATTCAATGAAGGTGCCTTCATCACTTGTGTATATCTCGCCTCTTGGTATTGGGCAAATGGCAGGTTATCGTCTTGATTGGAAATATTAGGATACGTTTGAACTGTAAATTGAAGGCTAGGCTGCGTCTCACAAGCAAACGATCGTCACAATAGAGATAGATGACAGCATGCTTAAGCTGGAGACCCAATTTAAAAGAAAAGGCTACTGAAACTTCCAAGACCTTTTAATTTCACCGCAATACACAAGATTCGTATTCTTTAAATACTGCATAGTAACACGGCTTATAAATCAGGAAAACGACAGCCCCAATCCAATGCTTGTTATCGCACAACTGGACAATCTGTAGCTAAGAAGTGACCTCCCACGCAGTTTTTTGAAAAAAAGAACTTTAGGGCAGCGTGTAATGTGTAGTTTTTAAACACCGAGAAAGAAATAATGTAACTACATTTGTGAGAACCAGACTGAAGACTTATACTTGGCTTCTTACTTCGACAGGGAAATTGTGGATGCATAAGTGCAGTGCTGTGCTGAATTGTGCTTCAAGGCAAGCTCAAGTGGTGCTGAAGTGTAGTATGAAAGCTGCCAAGGTTCAGACAGCTTATCAGTTGAAGGAGGTGGGTGAGTCACTTTAATGCCATTGCAACTATCTAATTATGCTGGCAGTCCTGCAAAAAAAAAAAAAGCTTATTCATGCCCGGCTGTGATTCCAGCATGTCAGGCTAACCTGTAGCTTTCCCAGACAACTTTTTTAACAGAAGAAGATGTGGCAGCAGTTCTCCACACTTTTGTATTCAGAGACATCTGTGAAACATGAAATAGATGTTTATTACAAGGCGCTATGAGCCTAACATTGAACAGCTGTACAGCGACCATCCATACTACACTCGAAAGAAGTCCTGATAAAATGTTGATTGGTTGAGCATGCCTGCGATCAAAAGACATGATATCCTCAATATTTCTTCTTTATTTTGGCATCTTGCACTTCAGAAATATGACATCAGACAATTTAGAATAGAAGTTTTTTTGGTCATTCACAGCACTGAAGTGATGAGTACGATGAAGGTGAATACATGAGTGTTGACTCGCAAGTAAAATTTATTGAAAGAAACGGCATGAATGAATGCAATGCTGAATGCCTTAATGGCTGCGTGCGTGCAGCCGAGTCATCCAAGCGATTCAAACATTCCAGAGAACACACACAGAGCACGTGCATCGAAGCAACAAATGAAACTAAAGCATGCAAGAAAACTTTCTCGCTTGTTAAGTCCGGATGGCAATCACAAATTTAATAATTACGGCTATTTTTCACTAAAGGCATCAGATGGATGGCTTACGTATCTTTTCCCTTCGCTGTTAATGTGTGTAGTTTCTATTATCTCTCCTGTGTATGGATGTTTGTGCCAGAAAAAACAATCTCTCATCATTGTTTCACATCTACAATCTTCGCAGTGTGATGGCAAGTGCAAACCGCCTGTGACCCATAGCAAAGACAGATTCTCTCTCAACCTAACATTCAAGCATCGCCTGGTTTGTCCAAGGCAGCGCTTGTGCGGTAACCTTTTTTTTTTTACATCTTCCTCGTCCCTCTAGTGCTATTAACTATCAAAAATGAACAATCACCAAGTATCCAAGGTTTGCCTTATTGTTTAGAATAGAAGCACATTACTGTTAAATACTACCATGCACATAATGACATCTGACACTGAGCAATACTATCTTACCATTGAATGTTTCCAGCATGCAGGTCATGCTTCCATTCACCCTTGCTTTCGCTATTGGTCTCACTTTCTGAGCCACTGATGTCGAGCGAGTCAAATTGATAGCCGTAGGCCATGGCTGAGAAGGTGGCCACTCCAGCCTGCGTAAAATTGTCGTTGGATGTTGGATATGATGACGGGCTCTTATCGAAAGGCTGAAAATGAACAGGCCAAATTTCGAAAAGGCCAGGACACCAAAAAATTGAATGCCTAGGAAACAAAATGCCGAAAGAACATAACACCAAAAACCATGTGAAATTTTATTGATTCAAAGAGAAATAAGATGCGATTGCGATGTGCTTCCAGAAGGGAAAATCAAACAGCTGCAAAAAAAGGTCATGTTTTCATGTTTAACAAGAAAATGGGTTCTAGACAGTATTGTAGATGGGAGAAGCGAGGCGAATGCAACACCTTCTCGTAGAAGTTACTCTCTTGGTCACTTTAAAGATAGTGATCCACGCAAGCCATGCTCTTCCAGCACATGGCCACCAGTAAAGCGAAGCAAGTTGCACTCTAGGACAACGTTGGCAGAGTGATTAGAGGTCAATCTCACCGCTTGTAAAGCAAGAAGTAATGGTTAACAAAAATCCTTTGGCAGAACTCGGGGCAACTGGTAAAATGTCGATGTTTCAGTTTTTTCCAAGAAATGGCACGCAACTTATCTGTCTGAAACACAAAAAACAAGTTATTTCTGTGCTACGCGATGACATATGCTGAAATATTTTTTTCTTTGTTTTTTTTTTTTAATGCTTGAATCGTATGTGAAGGGAATTTGGTTATGAGAAACGATGGAGAAAGTGCGTGTCCATCAATTCGAAAGGAAATAGCTCTGTGAATCTCCTGTAGGCCGAGAGAACCTTTAAGTTGCCAAGATACTCCATCTTTGACTATAGCTAGGTGATGCTGCATTTCGGTGTTTTGATTTTTCAGCATTCTGAATTATCAAGCTTTTTTTTTTTTGCTCTCTGAATTTATGTTTTTTTTTAATTTCCAGCATTCCAGTGATTTGTAATTTAGATTTTTGGCATTTCAATGCCACCAACAAAGATGACAGTGGTGACAACATTGCACAGCACGTGCAGGCATAACAGATGAAATGCCAGTGCGGCGTCCACTTGCATTCACTCGGGCACGCGGTGCCCACATCGCAGCTTTGTGTGGCAACGTGACCAGCTGTGTTCACCTGAAAACTAGAACTGTTGCCGCCTAGCTCGGTGCTTCTTGAAACCAAAACTCCAGCTGGCCATTCTAAAAGCACCTCTAAGCAATTACCTGTTACGCACTTGAGCAAATGACATTTCCAGCCGTGATAAGTGTGTCATAAGCTGCCTATTGCAACAAAGAAAACAAAGGTGCGAAATTTTTGTGTCAGTGTTCCTTTAAATGTCAACTCCGGCGATTTTTTGAGGCCAGTGGATCTCAATGAAATTCACTCGGTACGTTTATTTGCACATTTGCGCCATCCATAACAAACTGCAGGCTTGAGAGTTTCGCAGATTCTTTTCAAATGAATTTTATAGCTTGCCTTGAAACGCTCACCTCGCTTTGCAGAATTGATGGCAACATTGTGTGTGTGACGTTGAGTTTTACCTGGTAGAAGTGATAAACTGATGTGCCACTGCAGCGTCTGCTTGTCTACTATGGCTTGTGTGGGTTTGACTGGCGCTTCCTTGGTTGAGCATTCGATTTCCTTTTCCGTGTTGGTGGGCGTGCGACAGGTGCTAAGTGGTGTTGGATTGTGAGCCACACACGATTCGCCATATATTCAACATAACAGCATAAGCGCTTTGGCCGATCGCTGCTGACGGTGTGGAGAAGTAGTGCTATCTGGCGGGCATTATGTGCAATCAGGCAGATTTCGGCAGTGTCAGGAAAACCTTTATATCACACGTAAAAGCGCACTTGGTTGGGTTTCGCTTTCGGTATTGTGGTTTTTCGGTAACTAAAAATTATTTTCGAGTTTTTTGAGCATTTCAGTTATCGGGCACGTGAGAAAAGTGTCTAAAGAACATAAAAGCACCGTTATCCCGACATGGTAAAAAAATCGCTAGAGTTGGCTTTTAACGGTACACTGAAATACCTGTTTGAAGTTTTGTCAGTGTTTAGGCTAGAGCATCATCAAGCCATTTGCACCACAAGTTTAGCAACATGCCATGTACCAAGGCCACTTTTACCCTCCTTCTCACTCCTGCCATGCCTCCTCAACTCATGAGACACGCTGGCATCACTGGCAATCGCCGAGGTCTCATGAGCGCACCCGACGATTTGAGCTGCGCCCAGACTAGACCTTTGACATAGAGTTTTATACTGTATGAAACTTTATGACCTCCGAGATTGCACGCCGACAGATTGCAGGCGATCTCGGAGGCCATCACCCAGTGCACCCAGCAGCATGCACGTCATCTCACAAAAGAGACTGATTGTCGCGGAGTGGTTGATATAGGTAAGCTCCGACAGGTGCCGTTGCACTACCAGCTGATCTTACTTTCGCACATTCCACAGGCACGGCCACTGGATGAAAAAGCGCACGCCGTGTGCTCTTTCATCCAGTGGCCGTGCCACAGGCAATCAGATCAGCAGCCTGGGTGACGTCACGTTACCAGAGCATGTAGTACTGTGAATGGGGATTGAAGACGCGTTTGGCTGAGCCACAGTGATCTGCAGCGATTTGCACCTTTAAAGGGATGTAATAAATTATGCAGAGAGCTGAAATCAGTCTGTAAATTACCCTTAGGACTTGGTCTACGTGTCTAATGTGTCTGCACAAAATTTTTTAGGGTACCTTTAATGAATATTGAGATTATAGTAATACGAAGTTTAACCATTATGTTTGGTCACACAGTTTAATTAAATGAAAGGGGAATATAAGGGCCTGTTTTCCTTTGCTATACACAACATAACGAGAACCAACAGACAAATGAAGGAAAGTATATGGGATGTCATTTTGTAGTAATTACGATACAAATGTGGGAAATTAAAGTGCACAAAACGAGAACTTGTTGCCATAGCTCAGATATACCAATAAAGCTGACAAGAGGATGACAACAGCCATGGCTCGAGTGGTAGAGCATCGGACGTGTAATTCGAAAATAACAGGTTTGGTCCCTGTCGGTAGCAAGTTGCTTTTTCATCCGCTTTTCACATTTACATCTTGCTTACTACAAATAACATTCCCTATACATTCCTTGGCTTGATTGCGTGTTGGTCATCATCGTAGTCAAAAGGAACGGCTCACGCCCTCTGCACGTCCCTCAACTTTTGCTTTTCCTGCGCATCTTGTGGTTACTTGACATTGAATCACTCAGATCTTATTGTTCTTCTTGACCTATTGATAAGAGGTGAGCTAATGAGCAGTTTTGTGTGAGTTAACTAATTTACAAAATGTGAGGTTCGATTTACCATGAACAAGTAGCAGGCTCCTCATCTCAATAAGGTTTCATTTATTTTTGATACACAATTTCGACTGTATGCTATGTAGAGCGCTAAGTGTACGTACGAATTACTTTAAAAAAAGGAGTCTACCATGCTCGTTCACTGGCTGCCATATTCTTCCGCTAAGGATTGGCTCATGATTTCCACTCGCACGTATATACTACCATTCTCTGAGTCTACATGTAGACCATAGTTCACCTGCAAAGCTCAGCTGAAGGCTTCCAATATCCTTGCATTGCTTTTAAACACTGAACCTTGCCACTGAGATAAATTCACATAAAAAAACATGATCATTCATGCTGATCTCTTAAAATGTGGTAATCGTATATGCAAATCTTACGTTTATGTTGGTATCAGTATATCTGTTTCTGTTATCGATGCATACTAACTCTCCCAACTCTCTTCTTCAACGCAGCAGAGGCCACAACGAGCAATGTGTGCGAGTTTTTGGCTGTGGAAGAAAGCTTTGCTTTAATGTGACAGGTTTGTTTTTTTCTAATGTACAAGAGTCAAGGATTGACTTATATTTCAGAACACTGTTTGTCCTCAACCATTAGAGACTGTCAAACGGAAAATGTGGCGAACACTGCAACATGAAAATTGTTAATTTTATGAGTACACAAAGACAAAGGAGAATTTCTCTAAGTTCTGTTGGCTCAAAGATCTCAGGTCGCAGAGACTAAGGTTAGGGAGGCCGCAAACATTAAAGGTGCCACATGAAGTGAATTTATGTGCCTGTCTATTTCGACAAGACTTTTTGGGGACCTATTTTAAATTATCTCGTTAACTCGATCGTGAACACATGGGATGGAACTCCAGCTGAGCTGATGATGCAAGCATTCTGATAGTTCTGCATACACCAGATAGAAGTGACAGTACAGTGTCAGAAAAGTGCATCAGTGAAAAGAAAGCCGAGAATGTTCATGAAAAGCTTGACTTAGAGGGACACCAAAAATGCTTTTCTTGCATTAGTTGGTTACTCTCACAATACCAAAAGCACCTCACCTGCCAGGTAAAATGAATGGTGAGCGGAAAAACACGCAAAAAGAAAATGTGGGCAGTTATGCCACTGTGGCATCATAGATTTCGATGGTGTCTAGCTAGGCGTTTCAGACGCCACCCATCAAAAACTGCCTCTAAATGTTACAAATTGATACGTAATTTCAGGGCACCCAACTGTCTATTGCAACAAAAATATAGTAATAACAAGCTCATTAAGCATTTGTTTATCCTGAAGTCACTATATAATGTTCGGTGTTGGCATAAGTAGAATTAAATCATAGGCTAGAAATATAGTGCAAGTTTATTTTTAGTTATGTCAATTTTGAGCAAAGAAGAACTGTACTTTTTGCATGGCTCACAGGAAGCGACACGCCAAACGACTCATTGAACATGGCAATGCCTTCAGCAAAAAGATCATATGCGACAGTACACTGCAAAGTTAAGTTAAATTAAGATGAATTAATTATGCAGAAAGTTCAGTTCATCCAAATCTCAGTATATCTTTCTCTTTCTTGGTCCCTAGTTGATACAAATAGCAGGAACGAGTGGTGTACACAGTTGCATACATAGTGTGTTCAAGGTTACGTGCTTCTTGATAGATAAAATGAAGTTCTTTGCCCTCTAAAGGCACCAGAGACTTACCATACCAAGTCACGAAAATTTTGGTTTAGCCACTGTGGTCAAATTTTATTTACAAACGATCGGAGCAGCATATGCATTTCATTATGCCATTCGGTGACGAATAGCATTTTTAGATTGTTGTCATCCTCGCGATTTGTTACAAGTGGGCCCATATGCCTAGTGAACTCGCCAGCTACAACTCATAAATTACAGTATGTGCTAGGAGGGCAAATAGGAGTTAATTCGCAAGATTATGCTAAATATCCAATTATGCATTTCATTTTTCCAAGCAAACTAAGTCTACATCTTTGAGAAGTCAAACTCAAGGAGTGGAATTCTACTACACGTCACGAGTGAACTCTAAAGGTCAGATTGACATTTCATGAACGTCCTATGTGCACGCATTGAAATTGTAATGCCTTAGGCAACCTGAACACGTTTTTTTGTGCGTGAGAAATGTTTACAGGATATGTAATTGCAACCATGATCACATTTTCAATATTTATCCATCACCTTGTTCCTCAGACAGTACAAACATTCAGCCAATTTTGTGAACATTCGTCTCCCGTGTAGCTATGTTTTTATGCACAGGCTTTTAGGGCCTACGTTTTGTGTGTGGAATGGTGTTGCGTTTGTATGCTATTTGTGACATCACGAAATAAATAGGTTCTTTGGCTGAAGCCCTTTTGAAACATCAAATGTGGCAATGTAGAGAGTGGCTGAATTGAATGTCGCAGAAGTGTTGTTTAGAGATGAAAAATTCTTGAACATGAAGTTTCGCTGGAATCAGCAACCTCCCCCCCCCCCCCCCCCCTGGTTTCCAGAACTTGTAGTCTCTTCATTTCATCTCTTCATTAGTAGAGTCCAAAAGCATACAAGCTTCATAATTAATAGATGCAAAAATTAAAATGGTGCAATGATGCAGTTCTCACAATAGTCTTTAGCCTTCGGTCTTTAGTAGCTTTCTGGCTGTACAGGTGCGAAATAGCTTTTTTCTATGTATCTGGGTTCCTCAGTTTTTATTACCGTAAAAAATGTGCATTGCCTCCAACTTGTGCTTTTAACATTGGCCGAACGGTCCCAACTGAGTAAAAATATAGGGCAGGCTTGGCACTCCTTTGAATTAAAGGATTTAGGAGGACCGGCTTTGGGTACTGGATGTGAATACATTTCATACTTGGGGACCCCCCATATGTACGCACCTGTGAAATGGAGTCACACTGAGTACTTAAAGAACTGAACTCAGCCGAAACATTGGATTTCTAGTGATGCCATCATGGGGCACCAATGGCTATATTGAGTTATGCACAGTGCTTGCAGAAAGAAGTGCAACCTCAACAACACTGATTATAACCACTTGCATGCTTCACTGCTCGAGGCAATCACGTAATTTTGCTATGATTCTGGTCGGTGAAGTTACAGTAGTCTCTCTTTCAAAGGAACCTGAAGGGACCAGGAAAATGTGTTCCATTTAGCAGGAGTTCTGTTTACCGAGAGATGAACAGGGATGCAAAATGCAAGAACGAAATCAATCTTGTCAGAAGCACTTATTTCATCTAAGCAGCAGTTCTAATTAACATATTTCTGTTTACTGAGAGCCTACTGTATTGTTAGCTGTGTTGGAAGTTTAGAAGCCAATTTTACGCCTATGTGACGCATACCGAAGACGGCAGAAATGAAATGAAATGCACTGCTTAGCCCTAAACTGATGCATTTCATTCATTGAAAGCTCTGCAAATTTTGTAAGCGGTAAAAATGTGGCTGGCTTAGCGTAGCCATAGCTGCTTTTGTGCCATAAAGCCTGATCTAACTTTACACGGTGAAAAGTGTGTACGCATGCAACAACAATCACTTCACCCACCCGCATACCCCCCTTTTTTGTCAGTTTTTTAGACTTCATTTTTTATCACCTAGAAACTGTTTCTTGCTGCATATCTTATCTTGTCAACTCAGTCCTGTGATATTTTTAATTTAGCGATAATATCTCTGAATATTCAAAATGTTACAAAGCAGCATTTCAATTTATTCTCTTGTTTACAAATAATAGCTGCTCTAACCACTAACCGAGATGGAAAAAGCTTTAGAAAAATTCAAGGCTTTCTGTGCATGCTGATGAAACCGACTGTATGTTATTAGCAACCGCTTTAAAGAGCCTACTTCATTTTTTTCTTCTAGTGACTCAATTAAAAGTAACTAAATGTCAAAATTACTAATTACAACTTTTATGACACTTTGTCGATTCTCAATTTGTAAGCAGATTTGAAAACATCCCTTTTCATTGCTGTCAGCATCGCTTGCACAAGTTTTTCACATTTGTAGTAAAGCCTCTGTGACAAGAAAATAGCAGCTGCTGATATTATATGCTTCGCGAGCTGTGTTTCATCAATCTGTAGGCACACATGTGAAATGCAACACACTGACATGACTGAAAGCAGTGTTTTCTAATGACTCAAAAAAGCCTGTACTTATACAGTCGCTTTACAAATTATATGGAGTGTTCATCAGGCAGCACAAATTACGTGCACGAACAAGAGCATAGGAAACTACTGCAAGGCTTAGTATGGTTACCAGCAGCATAATGTTAGTCTCATCTGGACAGAAGCTTTTGCTTCTTTTCTTTAAGTATAGCCCTCTGTTAGCTGAGACGGTCAATATATTCTGCACATTTACTCTGGAATGATCATGACCTTGCAATGAATTGCATCAATTTGGTTTGCTCTTGTGCTTGTTTTACCACAGAAAGTTGGAAAGTTTCAAGTGCTCATTTTCGTTTGTTAAGCACATCATTAATTAGAGCTAACAGATAAGAAAGCCAAAAAAGTATAGGGGATGTCATTTGTGGTAATTAGGACATAAACACAAATAAAAAAAAAGTGGACAACAAGATAACTTTACTGTCTGGGACCGAACCTGCGACCTTCGAATAACACGTCCGGTACCCTACCAACTGAGCCTTAGCAGAACCACTTTATGGGTGTATATGTGCATTTAAATGCAGGGATCGTTAATCAGCACGTCTGGTTACTATGACGGCGAGTGTGAGACATTCTTTTTCTGCCTGCTGACATCGTGAAGCACATGATCTTCTTACGGGCTGGCAACTGACCAATAATCTTTCGCATACTACCTTCAGGCTCCCAGCCTGCCAAAACGACGTCCTAGCTGTGAATGCATGAAAGTCGGGAATTATAAAGCGCTCATTTCTCTTTGCTAAGCACAACATTCATCAGAACTAACTGACAAGAGAGCCAAGGAAAATATATAGGACGTTATTTGTGGTAATTGTGTGTAGAAAGAAAAGTGGAATAAAAGATAACTTGCCACTGGTACGGCCTGAACCTCACTTATTAAGCCTGGCTAATATATTTGGGCCTCTCCTTGGCTTCGGGTTTATTTAGTACAGCATAATATGGTCTCCAAGTGGCAGTTTGTTAAGCTTGCTAACTTTATAGTTCGTTACAAAATCTACAAAAGACAACCGCTTTGCAAAAAATGTAATTGATCGTATCAGGCCAACAAGTGAAGCCTAATCTGTGAGCCAAGGATTTACCTGCCTACCCTTGCTGTTGAATGATTTATTATGAGCATACTATAGTGTCTGAGTCTTGTTACAGTCTCGTTACAGTTGAACCCCTTTGGAAGAGACAAGCCCTGGGGAGCAGTCCTTGTCATTGACATGAGGTGTCAGTTGTAAGCAGAGTTCCATGATCTCATTTGGTTATCTGCTTCTATCTTGATTTAGGCACATTTGTGTTTCTTATCTTACATTCCTAGTTGGCTCTTACTTTGACGTCTTTGAAAAAGGCTTTCAATTGTCTAACACACTTAGAGAGTTCATCTACTCTGAGTGGTGGCTGTGGAAAGCTGAAGAAGGCTTCACACTTCATCATTAGCTGGGGATACACAGAGCAAAAAGGATGAGGATGCAGGAACACAGTATACACTAAACACTGCTGAACTTACAACTGACATCTTTTTTGCACCAGCCTCTTGTTTCTACAGCATTTTTTTCAATTAATACTGCCACATCAAAAGCACCAGCTAGGCAAACTACATTGTCACTGAAAGTTGGCATGTGTACTTGATTTACACCGTGCGTGTGCACCTTCCACACTCAGACAAAATGAACACAACTGAAACCTGCTGCTCTTGAGGTGGTGGTATTTATGGGAAAGGTGAGTGGAGGTTTAGGGCGCTGTAAAAACAAGTGGTTGGTGCAATAAAGGTGTCAGTTGCAAGTTCAGCGCTTGTCTACTGTACTGCACTCCTGCGTCCTTGTCCTTTTTGCTCTGTGTATCCCGAGCTAAGCATGTAGAAACTCCCCCAAATCAAAGTCTTCTGCGAGTTCACACTCAGAGGCAAGATAGTGTTGAAAGTCATAGCTTTTTGTTACAGCTCATTGAGCAAATCAAGGTGATTTAATAACTATGGCGAGTGCAGTTGCCGGTGCAGTTTCCCAACACACGTGTCAAGCTTCTTGCAAAATTTCTAGCGCTGTGACTTTTTCTTGCTGTTTTCCCTGAAATTCTACCATCCATCAACATTGGCTGCTGAAGCACCTAAGTGCAGCAAGTGCCTATTGTGTGGAGAGCACATGTTGCTGTGGTCAAATGCTCTTGTTTTCACCTATGAAATGTGGCTAGGTGTGCCTTTCTTCTTCTTTTGTTTTCTCTTATTTCACTCCTTCCTGTCCAGCTTACATCAGATTTACTCTTGCCATTTTTGGACATCATTGCATCAGCTAAGCATAATGTGTAAGTGCTACTTAGTCATATATTTGTGATTGAACAGTAAAGGCTTGTTAGTTCGAACCCAAAGGGAACTATAAAAGTGTTTAAATTAGCGTACAGGCACTAGAATGAATCCTACTCTGCTCTCTTCTTGTTTCGGTTCACCTACCATTTTTCTTTCCATCGCTCGCTGTGTCGTCCTCAATTTAAGCTGAACCCTCTTTGTAAGCATCCAGGTTTTGGCTCCGTAGCTAAGTACCGGCAAGATACAGCTGTTATATACCTTCCCCCTGAGAGATAGTGGCAATCTACCTGTCATAATTTGAGAGTGCTTGCCGTATGTGGATTAGAGAACAAACGGGGGTTAAGGATATCATAGTTGAAAGCAAGAAGAGGAAATGTACATGGGCCGGGCATGCTGCGCGCATAGACAGGATAACCGCGGGTCAATAAGGGTGACTGGATTCCTAGAGAAGGCAAGCGGGTTAGGGGGAGACTGAAGGGTAGGTGGGCAGATGAGATTAAGAAGTTTGCGGGTGTAAATTGGCAGCAGAAAGCACAGGACCGAGTTAACTGGCGGAACATGGGAGAGGCCTTTGTCCTGCAGTGGACGTAGTCAGGCTGATGATGATGACTAGAATAAACGGACATCAAGCCACACTGCACCAGCAGGACTCAAAGAAGCGACCTCTAGACTCGTTATAGCGAATTAGGCACTACTATAGGTTTTTGGCAGGGGAGTTCATAAATTTTGTTCATGGAGCTCTAACAACTATAGCAGAATTAATTGATCAGTCAGTGATATTTGTGTAAAACGTGAGCCCTAATGTCAAAGTATGTGTTGCTACTTATTCTCCAAAACATATTTATTTACATGGCAGAGTTACCACAACCAAAATGAAAAGTGACCAGTAATTTGCATTTGCTTCAGTCATTCAGTCCCGGCTTTATGAGCACTGTTTGCAGCTTGCCCATGAGCTCCAGCGCAGCGTCCGCAACTCTCATATGCTGAGGAGTGATAGTGTTTTGTTGTTTTGCATCTCTAGCAAGTTTGCTTTGATTTGGTTTTGCAACACAATGCCGTCACTGTAGTCTGACTTCTGCGAGGGGCGCTGAAAACCAGGGCTTCCCGTTTTAAATTAACTGTTTTGGGATACTGACACATTCTAATTGTCAGAAGTTTTTCCCTATAAGAATACACAAAACTCTGCCAGAACCTGGGCATCAGTTTGAATTAATTGAGTTCAAAGTAACAAGCTTTTACTGTATAACCAGTGTATAGATAATATTTGATCGGCATTAAAGCAGCGATATGTGCGATATGTTTGTCTTATGTCGTAATTTGCAAGGCCGATAGGAGGATCATTTTGAGTGTACGCCACTATGACAGGTTCTAAAAGGGGACAGGAATGCCATCGAAGGAGTGGGCTTTAAGTTCAGCTCCTTGGTGCATCATGGAAATGAGAGCAGCTGCAACGTAAGGCCACATTTAAATTGCAGTGGGGTGGCTGACTTCCTCCCCCACCCTGCTCTTTTTGACACCGCTCCTGCTGATTTGCCACACAGAGAAATAATGGGATTGAGTGGCTCATAAGTGTGAGGGCCCACTTCAAAAAAGTGCCACGACAATGACTAAAGAAATTCATTAAGCTGTAGGTTGCAGCAAGATGGCAAGTTGGGCCAGTTGGATTACGCTCATAATGGAAAATTTTGTTGAAGTGCACTAAATGATGGACGGATAGAAGAGGCTGACAAAGACAGCGCTTGCTCTCACAACTGAAGGTTTATTATTCAGAAAAAAGGGTATTTAAAGCGGATACATGGTCTTTCGCGCATGTGCATCAGAACAGGGTGCAACAGAAATCGCTCTTGTCAGGATTACAAAAATTGTGCATATTATGTATCATTTATTATATTTTACAAGTACTAGGTGTCGAGATACGCATACTCTTTATCATGCAGCACAATCGTAGCTTGGCTAACGCAGCACGTCCCCTCTTTCAGATGTGGTAAGATTCCACTATCTCACGTGTTAGCTGATCCTTGTGTTGAAGGAATATTTGTGTTTCTTTAAACACAGGATAACATCCGTAGTTTTTTCAGTGATCTGCAAGATGACTGTTGCCAACAGTCATCTTGCATGTATCCATGTGTCCGCTTTAAATATCCTTTTTTTTTTTTAATAATAAACCTTCAGTTGTGAGAGCAAGCGCTGTCCTTGTCAGCGTCTTCTGTCCGTCCGTTTTTTAGTGCGCTTCAATAAAATTTTCAATTATGAAACTGCAGGTTTTTTGGTGCTTCCATCAAAACTTTCATTTAGAAGTGCACTATGGCTCACTTGATGTTGCTGCAACACAGCTTTTTTTTTGTCACTCCTATATTTTTCGTGAGAAAATAAAGGCGCATCTGATTGATCGATTGATTGTCAATGAGCCTGTGGTCATGGACAATCACCATGAAGTGCACACCGACGAAGCGCACTTTATGTACTGTCTTTGTCCCTGTGCACATCTAAGGTAGATGGCAGGCACCCACTAGATACGTTGCCAGAATGTGCCGGACTCTAAAAATTGACCTCATGAAGTTGATTACAGGTCAAGTGAAAGTACCCAAATAATAAAAGTAATGTCCCCCTACATTTTTTGTGGACATTAGGATGTAAGATGAGCCTGAGGATGTAATAGAAGAATTCTTGATTGTGCTTGAAGCCCTTGCTGCAATACGCACTCAGAACTTTAAACAAGGTGAACTATTTCTGTCAAGTGTTCGAGTAATGAAGTTTGTTGGATCTCTGCTTTGGATTGTTGCCACGAAAAGTCACTTCTCTTGTGTGGAGTTGTCGAGAGTGAGTATTGGGTAAGAATGGACTTGATCGAGGAGCATATGTGAGCCTTGGATTGTGCTTTCTTGATGGTTTACACTTTTTTTTTGTGGTGCAAACATTAACAGCGATGCCCACCAGTGTTTGAATCTTGGAATAGCTCTGTTCGCACACAGGCGTGCACTTATATATAAAATTCATTTAATGTGGGCACACTTTGTAAACTCACCAGCTCCAATCTGGGAACAGCTTTATGTGCCATACGTTGTTCATCTAAAAGGTAACTAGTGAACCATGTTAATCAACTATTAAGTAAAATGACTTTCATCTGCTGTAGGTATGCATTCGGGCTGGTTAGTTAACCATTTCCAGTAGAAAAGAGCACTAAAAAATCGGTGTCTTTTCTTCATCCTGTCTTTTAGCACTGTTTTCTACTGGTGATTTTTTAAACCTTATGGATGTCCATCACAATGCATAGTTTACCTTTGGATAAATCTGACTTCTTTCCTTGGAAACACTATGTTTACATTTTTTCAAGTTATCTTAAACACTCAGATGTAGAGTTCATTAAAAATTGCCAAATTTTCTAGACTAAAAATTATATCAATATGGCATTAAAACCAGTTTTGCTAACGCTTGAAATGGCAAAATTTCGTTAAAAGATTGGTTGCGAGTCCAATCGCACCTAATTAAAGAACAGGGTGACAGAAGTGGCACACAGAAAGAAAAAGCCACAGGACAGGTGCTGTGGAGAACTATGGGACACCATGGTGCACTTGATGGCTGATTTGATTCTACTGTCTGCCTTATGGTTTCGTGGGATCCTGTGTGTTCACATTGCTCATCGCTCATGGCCTGAGTTGCTATGAGACATTAACTTTTTGGGCGGCGGCATCATCGACTAGACGATACGACACAAAATGTTTCCTTAACACCTTGGAAATGAAATCCAAAACTGAACTGTTAATTCTTGGAGGCTATTCCCACTGCGATCAGCAGCATTATTGTGGCACTTTTGCGGAGCTGGGATCAATGAAAAAGAAGCGTGATCAAAGTCATGGGTGAAGTGAAGGCAGGTAATCTGAGAAGGGTAAGCACTGTTTTAGAGAAGTAGTCCCAAAGTTGTTTCAAGAATGTCCGCACTGCAAAATATGACGGTGGTTCAGATTTGGTGTACTCTGATGAGCATTGAGAATATAGAAGCCATTTCTTCTCATTTCACGACCACTAAGTGCTGATGACCTAGTCTAATGGCATGTTTTTAAATCAAATACTTATGCCACTGGCTTAATTTTTGGTTTGTGGTTTTTTGGGGTTTTACCAATTAGGAAAACACGTACAAAAGATTCTCTAACAAAAATTAAAATTCCAGGGCAGAAAACATTTGTGAACAAGTAATTTCTGCATTGCATTCATGCTGTCTGTCTATTTTTCTGTTGGTTCTACTCAATGGCTATTCTGTGAATGCGAGAGATATCTCCAAAGTATGCTATGCACTTGAGACATGGCAGCCTGTGCTAGCACCTTGAATAAAATTGCGTCTGCCTCACAACTCTGTGTTCTCAGTTTACTTGGGTGTCACCTGTATTATTTGTACCCAGTGATTTGTAATGGCTATAGCTGGTAGTGTTGATTTAGTTCATTACTACATGCCCATGCTTTCTTACTTTTTCGTCAGTGTCTTCATTTTCATCTCAAGCAATGCCATGAGGTTTGGTGCCGAGTGATTGCACTGAAGCAAAATCACTACTCGAAAATTCGGATGTAGGATTGTCCATTATCACAGCATTAAAAACATTGTAGTTACAGCTTGTGTAATGCTCTTAATACTGGTGTCACACTACCACTTTTGATTGTGATCAGGGCCAATCCTGATCTTGATCGCGATAAAGAATGGTCGCTGCTATGCAGTCAAGCTTGGCGCTGATGTCAGTCAAATCACAATTTGGGAGCCTGATTTTGATTAAAAGAGACTGTAGCAACACCTAATCTGGATTAGCGCTGATAGCCATCAAATGTGCCCGCATGACACTGGTATAAGAAGTGGGCTAAATGGTTGCAGCAGGGCCGTAGCCAGGATTTTCTTGCAAAGGGTTGGGAGGTGGGTTTTAATTCCTCTTGTGGTTGTGTTTGTGCGTCACATCCACTGGCACAACCAGCGTCTGGAGGGGGGGAGCTCAGAATATCTTTTTTACATCATTGTGTGCAGAAACTCTGTGGGTATGCGCCATTGAAAGCAGATATGTGCCTTGAAGGCCCTGACATAGCCATCAATGCCTAGTGACAGCCATATGATAATCAATGAATTGCTTATCAATAATTGATCAGTAACAAATAAATTGTAGGAAATGCTTCGGCGTGACAGGCGAGGCACAATTACATGGCCGAAGCCTAGTGACAGCAATTGATAACCAATCAAGAGCTCATCGATCAATAACTAACACATTTCAGAAAATGCTAGGATGAGCTTAGCCTGACCAAAATGCATGACCAGTGCATTGTCATAACTGATCCATAGTCAATCGTTAGCTAATTGATCTAAGCAAATATGTTATAGAAAACTCTTAAATGAGCTTAGTCTGATCCCCAAAAAATGCATGACTGATAGATAAACTTTGAGAGCATATCTTTTAGGGCTGTGCCTTTGTTGGTCCCCCTTTCCAAGAGGAAATCAGCAAGCTCATCAAGATTCCGGACCTTACCTCTCTAATCCTGGCCATCCAGAGGGCACACGCAAACCTGATTGTCCCAGACTGGGCCTAGACAAGTGATGTCGAGTCAACTCGCGTCTACTGTGTACTAAATAAAGTTGATTGATTGATATGTGGGGTTCAACGTCCCAAAACCACCATACCAAATAAAGTTATTCACTCACTTGCTTACCAATCAACGGATGATGAGTAATGGATCAATAAGTTATGCAGTTTAGAGAATGCTTGGTCATGCTTGCCAAGCTCGCCATTCAATAGATGAGCCACAAGAGAGAGGGAAGGGAAAAAAAGATAGAACATAGATGGAAACAGGTGCAAAAAAAGAGGCAGCAGACATAGCCATGTATTGTATAGCATGCAATGGCTGGGAAAGAGAACTGATGGTGAGGAGGAAAGGTAAAGCATAGGATACTCTTGTACACTATAGTATATAGAGGCTAGAAGGGAGTGAATGTGTGTAGAGAAAGGGCAGGTCTTTGCACAATTATAGCATAGTTGCCCTATTTTTTTTTGTATGTGTATGCATATTACTCGCATACTAATGCATGTGCATCGGCGTGTGCGATCGCCTTCCACCGCGATGAAGGCCCGGCTGCGTCCTTGGTGTATGCATTGCATACATCGCATGTGAATTTTCTACAGAAATCAAGAGGGCGCCACATTCAATTCCAATACCGCCGTTGTTATTCGTGAAACTTTTGTCATGGAAGCAATAAAGGTGAGTAAAACATTAACGAATGCTAGTAAGGCACTGCGGAGCACGATCCTCGCACATGTGAGAAGCATGTGACGCAAGTATTTTGTAAGTATACTGTGCCGAGGTGGTAACTACTTACTGGACAGATAATACTACTGAGGCCAAACTCGTTTCTAAAAGCGGCACACTTGATTTGCCGGCTTGAACAGATCCGGAACGCTCCTTTCGATACCATTTCGACGATGGCACTTTTGGGGTGAATCCGCGTCCAGGAATGTTGACCGCACTGTGCATGCTGACCTTCATTGCGCTTTTACATGCGGCGCTGGTATCGGCGGAACTACGGTTATCCCAACGCGCTGGTAGGTGTTCTGTGGCTTGGATCGCTGCGGTCTGGCTCATTTGCTCGGAGTGACAAGTTACCGAGCTGTCAGCGGGTGAATGGTTTGGCCGATGCGGCGACGGCTACTCGTGGTGCATAGTCGCCCCTTTACGTCCCGGCAACCGTGTCCGTTCGGAGTGGCGAAGTTCGCATGCGGCGTGGCAGCAGTTGTTGCGTTTTTACGTACCCTGCGGCACCGGGCTTTGTTGGATTTCCTCCGGGTACCGGTGTATGACGAATCATTCTGGAAGGCATCTCTGGACTCGCCCGCGCTGACTTTGACTCGCCGCCCGCCTTCCCCGCGACGAATTGAAAACGCTCGCACTTTGGCTCGGGCGACGCGTACTGTACTGGCGGGAACACACATTTGTGCCAGCGAACAGGTGACCAGGGGCCCAAATGACGGACTCGGAAGCCGTGTGCTTCAGGATGCTCGAAGAACTGATGCAAGACACGGACGTCGTCGTGGATCCCAAGAGGCAGGGCGTTAAGCAGAGCTTAGCAGGTGGGGGCAACGGCGTCTTGAGTGTCGTATCTCCGGCTTCGTCGCTGGACGAAGGTCTCGGTTCGCCCAGTGACGACGTAGCCACCAACGGCAGCGCTAAAGCCGGGAGCAGTGGTAGCTTCGACGACGGTGGTAGCTCGACGGACGAAGCCTCGGAAGTCTCCGGCGTCGTGGTAACTCGTCGCGGGTCGCCGGTCAGCTGCTGCTGCGGAGACAACCGCGGCTTCGACGTACGGGACAACCAGAGGGACGACATGACTGGTATCGTGGTGGCCAACGGAGGCAGGTAGGTGACGTGACGGCTCGGTTTTTCCTTGGTCTTCCAGTCGCCCGCGCCGTGGTGGCTCGGCTGTCTCGCGCCATTTAATTAGGGCGCCGTTTCGACTCCTGGTCGCGGCGGCCGCAGTTTCGTGGTGATAGGATGCAGCAAAAGCGCGCGCATTGGTAGGCCGACCCCTAGCAGGTCAAAATTAAATTTGAGTTGCCGCTACGGCTTTTGCTCGTATAGCCTATTTGTTTGTTTCTTGCGCTCCACTCGTACCGCGCGTGCGGCTGATTTGTTTAGTTCGTGATCGAAAAATTAGTGGCGTTGTTTTCGCCGTGTTTGACCCGCTGACCCGGAATATTTGTTCGCGGCGTGTTTTCAGCCTTCTTTTATGGTGGTGTTCGATCGTACTGCAAGAATAAACTAACGCTCCTGCGAAGTATTTACATAGCGTGCAGGCTGGTGTAAGGCTGTTCTTTTTGCCTTTTTCTTCGTGTGGTTCATATCGTCGCAAGTTGACTCGGAACTGGGACAAGTTTAATTCGACCGACTGAGGGTGTGAAATCCGCTTTAATCTTTCGTGATTGCTCATTACCGCTGAAGCCAACGCTGTATTTACTAAAGTGTGGGATTGGGCTGGTTGGTAATTAATTATTGAACTTCCCAGTGCAAAATTTTCAGACAACGAACACTGCGCTCCTCCTCGTCTGTCGCGGGATCGAATCCCGGCTGCGGCGGCTGCATTTTCGATGGAGGCGAAAATGTAGGCCCGTGTGCTCAGATTTGGGTGCACGTTAAAGAACCCTGGGTGGTCGAAATTTCTGGGGTCCTCCACTACGGCATCTTTCATAATCATATGGTGGTTCTGGGACGTTAAACCCCACATATCAAGCAATGTATTTAGTACATGGTTTATTCATTCTTTCGCGCACGCCGAGGAGTCTGCTTCTTCGTCTTCGCTGTCGTCGGTACTGCCGTTCACGCTCATTTCGCTGGCCTGCTATATGGCACGGAAGGGTCACCTTCCGTGGCACTAGTCATGGCGCTGAAAGCACGTTATACTGTAGCTCATTGTATACATCAGTTACTTGACATTTGTTGTTGGAAATTATTTGGTCAAATTTTATTTGATTTGAACAACGAATCCCCCCAGTAAAAAAAAAAAACTGGCTGTAAGTTAGGTAGTACTGATTTTTCACGAGTCCGTACATTACCACGGGCAGCAGCTTGTGTGTTGCTTATTTTGCGAGTTCAATTTTTGATCGGTGCCGAATTCTCTTCTGAATATACAGCTCTTGCTCGCGTGTGTTTAAGCAGGGCTTTTCACTCTGCCCTTCAAAAAGAGCAAAATTTAATAATACCGTGCTTTTTAATGCGATAGCGCTCAAGAACTCGTTTTGCAGAAATTCCGGCGTCGGTGTCGTTGGTTGAAAGCGAAAAATCTTCTCTGTGACCGTACAATCGAGAAAGATGCGAATGACACAACGAACTTTCGGTTCGAAGTGGAAATGGGAGCCGGGCCGTCTACGTTGCAAGCAGGTGTTATACTACAGAACCACGTCATTGCTTTAAACTTTTGTGGGGAAAAAAAAAAACGGTGTGTCTAAAGGTACGTCGGACGTACCCGAATACCAAAAGCTAAAGGTACGTCCGACGTACCCGAAACCGTGAGTCTAAAGATACGTCGGACGTACCCGATTACTAAAAGCTAAAGGTACGTCCGACGTACCCGAAACCGTGAGTCTAAAGATACGTCGGGGGTACGCGAAACTGAGTCTAAAAAAAAAAAAAAGATACGTCGGACGTACGCCGGGAGTTGCCGGGTGGGTCCACGGCTACCGCGTACCAATTTTTGCATATATACGAAGAAACGAGCCTTCGTGCGAGCCTGCTCACGTAAAAGACTGACAGGGAGCGAGTACTACCGGTGACAATGGAAAACTTAGAGCATCGCGTGGTTGACGAACGGCGTCGATGTCGGCGGTGCCGTTCTCTCCTAGCAGATCTTTTGAACGGAAAGGGGGAGGCTCGCACGTAAGTACAGAGGCTGATGTCCTTCCCTCGGCAGAGCAATTTTCGGGCAAAGAGTTCTGTGCGGTACTCTCGCGAACGCGGTTTTGTGTGATATGCGCCTATGTAGCCAGCTGAGTTTGCACGAAAACCATTCTGGGAGCCGACCTACTCGCTGACCTTTGAAACCGTAACTGCGACCGGCTCCCAAAAACTAACCAGCGCGCTTGAGTCCACGAGGTTTCCAGATGAGCGGGTCGTTAGCTAATTACTGCAGGGAAAAAAACAAGATGTAAGATTTTTAAATGCAAAGCATTTCTTAGCAAACCAAACGAATTTATTTATCTGGTTAGCCAAGTTAGATCACTAACTAGCTAGCCGCCTACGCCTGGGTGCTCTCATGATCTCCTCCTTAGCAGGTTGCAAAAACGAAAAAGACAGGCCAGATAGCATTTTAATGCTCTTATTATACATAGTTTTCACGTGACATCACAGACAGGTTCTCTGCACTGGGTGCTCCGAGATGGCGGCAACCGTGACTTTTTATGTCATTAGAGAGTACCATTGCAGAGGAGGACACACAGTTGTTCGGTCCCCGTGTTCTTTTGTGATGTCCCCACTTTCTTCTGTTCGCAAGGCGCGCTGTGGGGAATCAAAGGAACGCGAAGGGCACCGGCACAAATCCTATGTCACCGTTTGAGCTAACCCAGCATCTCAAAGTAGCTGGGGGCCCTAAGATGGCGGCCATGGTGACGTCAATGCAAACTATGTATACAATGAATGAATTCAGTGTTCACTGAAGGCACAACTAATGCAAGCTTTAATCAAAGGATCACAATTGTATGAAGAATAATAGGAACAAATACACAGACACACAATACATGTAAATGTCACTCGCATGAAACAGCACTAAGCTTTCTTCCATTTTTATAAGCATGCCAGTGGGGCATACACTCAGCCATCTTTTGTTGTGCTTAAGCAAACCCTGCTTGCGAGCTCCCCTGCTTGCGTAGAAGCAAACCCTGCTTGCGTAGAAGCTTTGGAGCAATTCTGCTCATTTGTAGCATTAATGTAGTAGCTTTCACAAAACGTAGCAGGTTGGAGTAATTTTGCTCATTTGTAGCATGTATGGACCAGCTTTAACAAAATATAGCACGTAGGAGCAATTGCAGCAGGTTTCCCATCGCTGTGTTCCACTCACGGAGCAGCTCCTTTACATTTGGGCTGCTGCTACACACTTCGCACAAAACCAGGAACTATTCCTGTTGCGGCTGCTCAGTGAAGTACAGATTTGGTGGAACCAACACAAACATAAGTCACAAATCACAGAAGGGTCCTCTTCTAACAGGTCCCGACATTCGTTGCATTTCCACTTTATGGTTTGCTTCTTCACCTTGACTGTTGCCAGCACAGCTGTCCAGCCGTCTTCAGTGAAGTATTTCTGGACACAGTCAAGGTGAACTTCCTCGTCGAGGATTGTCTCTGGAATCCTGGAAGGTATGGTTTCCACCTGGTCCTCACCTGTAAAAATTACTGAATAAGTGTTCTGAACCTGCCATCAGATGGCTTTAAGGTACAACAGAATGCTATGAATCTGAACAAGGGGAACTTATTTCTAGGGCTCAGGTTTATTTTGTGAATTGAACACTCAATATTCTTACAGAATGTAGCTGTAGTTGCAGCCCTATAGGTGATATCAGACACCTTCGTACTACACCTTAGATAGCGACTGAAGTTGCAACAAAATAGGAAATTTAAGCATAAATAAAGGTAAATCTCACAACTCACCGAGTAGCAGTTTCCCCTGCTGAACCTCACTTAGCAGGCCCTGAGGAACTAAGCAACTTAGGATCCTGAGCTCCTTTTCCTGAGGAGGCAGATCGCGAAATGGCTGCAGTGTTGCTGCTGATTTGTGGGGTCCCTGCCGCCGTCGTGGAAGCCCAATAACGGTTTTCTCCGCCCCTTTGGGTCGACCTCGTGACTTCACCTTAGCGGGCACTTTCAGCTTTCCGAGGCGTTCGCGCATGTAGTCTGAAGGCCCGGCGCTGCTTGCAGGGGCCAAGGTATTCTCGCGTGGCTGTGCCTTTCTCACTTCATCAGGAGTTTCGCATGCACCTGCATTATGGGCACGCTGCTCTTTCTCAGGAGTGGTATGAAGTGGTTCTGCCCCGGTATGGCTTAAAGGTGCTTGAGGCAGATCTGGTTGATCATGTGAATTATTCTGATCTGCAGTTTCAGACGTGTCCCAATCCTCACCTGATGCAGCTTTGGGTGACTCTGCATTCTCTTCTACGGACACAGTCAGCTCCAGCTGGCGTCTGACTTGCTCTGGTGATGAAGGGGATGAGGCTTCATGACGCAACACTTCCACGATTTCAATTTCGCGCCCTTGCTCCCATGCCTCAGAGAGTGCCAACAAAACTTTTAGACGGCCCTGGTATCTTTCACCTGTTTCTTCTGCAGCAAGTTGAGCTATGTACTTGCATGTAGGAAATACCTCCCTGTATTTCTCATGCTGCGACATTGGCCTCCGAGGTTTTGCAGCCTGCTCCGAAATGGAATGTTCAGTTGTGCACTTCTCTTGAGAAAGGAAGGCTCTCTGATGACAGTAGTAATATGCCTTGGACCACCTTTTTAGAAAAAGTTTGTCATCAAAGAGACTAATGTTCAGAGTCCGCCTAACTGCAAACACATGCCGGCATGGCAGTCTCATAGCGTTCCAAAAGGAACAATTGCAGTTAGTTTTTGTTGTTGACGTGTTGCCAGACGACGCCTCGAATGTGAACACATCTGCTTTTTGGTCACTTGGTACTCGCTTGGCTGACAGGTAGATCTGCTCCCTTACAAGCTTAAAGGCATAGGGAGTCAATGATTCCTGATACATAGCTTCTTCAGGGCTAGAAGGTGCTTTGCAAGGTCTTTTGGATATGCTTGTCAATGCTCTGTGGTCACGTTCATCGCTCAAGGCGTTCAATACTGTGAAAAGTGAGCACACAAACTCTTCAAGGGAG